TTCGTAATGACATTCTCTTTTGCAACACGGTTATTGCGATCATTTTCTTATTTTCTCAGCTGGATGGGACTACCACTAGCCAAGTCAGGCTTCAAGGAGGATATGCTCCCTTTTCACAAACATAGCAGCTGCAAGCGACCAAAGGCGCGTCGGACGAGTTGGCAAACGGGAGCCAACGTGGAGTCTCGCCGTCGTCCCCTTCCACTTGCTTGAGTTGCGTGTTACTGCACAGCACCGAGGCCATCAAAGTCGCGCGAACTTGCACATTTCCGGCCTCCGGGTCGGCTTGACTGCTACCGTCCGAAGCGAGGATAGAGCCTTCAGGTGTGAACCCCTTGGCAGTGATTGAATACTCGCGGGAAATCGCCCCAGAGCTTCACTGCAGTCATCTTGCCTTCCGTCAATGTACCCGTCTTGTCGGTACAGATGACCGACGCTTCGCCTAGCGTCTCCACTGACGCGAGTTTACGTACAAGCACATTCTTCTTGACCATCTCGGCCGTACCGGACGACAGACAGATAGTCACGACCATCGGTAGACCCTCGGGAACAGCACTCACGGCCACAGACACAGCAGCCATAATCATAGTCAAGTACGTGGGTCTGTCCGGGTGATGAGGGTCTTCATTGCCGCGGATCATACCGACGATAAACACGAGGATGGCCACACCCACCGCGATGAGACCCATGACGTACCCAGTGTGGTGTAGAGCTCGCTGCAGAGGCGTGAGCTTCGAACGGTGCTTGGCGATGCAGTCACCAAGCGGCTTACGGATCCACTTCTTCTCTGCAGACGCATCCGTGCCGCTCTTGGCTTGTAGTAGAGCTGCAATGGAGCCCACACGCGTGTTCATACCAGTCTCCACTACAATACCACGAGCGTTGCCGGCGGTGATCGTCGTGGACGAGAAGACCATGTTACTCGCTGTCAACTTGGCAGGTTTGCCGGCTCCAGCGGGGTGGATCGGAGCGTTGTATTTCTTGGGGACATCCTCCGATTCGCCCGTCAGCAGCATCTCGTTACACTTGAGATCGACACTAGTGAACAGCCGAATGTCAGCAGGCACAACGTCGCCTGTGACGAGGATCACGATGTCTCCAGGCACCAGCTGCTTGCTGTCCACCACTTGTTGCATCCCGTCACGGATGACAAGCGACTGCGGGCTGGACAGACTGGCAAGCGCGGCTAACGCGTTACTGGCGGAGTGTTCTTGGTACGTCGCCACGCCTGCGTTCAGCGTGACAATGGCGAGGATAGCGATACCTTCAACCCATTCTTGCAAGGCCAAAGACGCCAACGCAGCGAAGAGCAGCATGGCGATGATTAGATTGTAGAACTGCAGCAGGAAGATCACGCTGACTGGCGTTTTAGCTTCTTCTTCCAGTGCATTGACACCGTAACGCAGTATCCGACGCTCCACGTCCATGACATTTAGTCCCCGCTCGATGTTCGTGTTTAGCATCTTAGTGATCAGCTCGGTAGATCGCTGGTGCCACGTCTTCTCGTCGGTCTCATTAAGTGTCGCGAAGGACTCGCGCGTGGGCACGGGATTGGCAGCAAGGAGAAGCTCTCCGTCATTCAAGAATCGCGAACGGTGATCAGGTAGCGGAGTACTGGATCCTCCAGCAACCGATTTGCTGTTGGTTGCCATCTTGGCGTCGACGTGGTACAGATCAGCGGCTGAGAAGGAGCGCGCGCCGCTGGACACGTCCACGACATGGTGGGCTGCCGACTCGAGCGAGTGGGAGGACGCACGAGGCGACTCCAGTCTGGCGTAGTTGCCGTTATCCTGCAGTGAGCGTGAGGGCAAGGACGCCCCACTCTCGTAGCCTGGCATAGCAGTCGGAAAGTATGCGAGTTGAAGTTCTTAGTTGATAAAGTACGGGAGGTTATGTTAACTCCCGTCTGTGGTAGTTGGAGGTGTTGTGAGGCCTAGAGAGCCAATTTGGAAATGATAACGTCGGTTTTTAAAGGGCCTTTGGATGGGCTAAAGATGATGGATGCGGCACTTCACCGCGCAGCCTGCGAAACGCACGTGCGAGATCTCAAAAGGTAACGTGATGGGCCTTCAATTTGATTGGTTAATCTCTCTAATGACGCGATCTGATTCGCGTTTCGACGGACGAGACCCTCACTCACGCAAGAGGCTTTAATTCGTGCAGCGGAGACCAACGGCCATTGCTTAGCAATGGCCGTTAGCAATTTGCTAGTCGTCATTTGCGGCGAGCACGCAGCTTGTCGTGCTTGTTGGTCGGTTGGGGTGCGGTAGTGTACATATTCGTGTACATGTAGTCTCGTCGACATTCTGGAAGGTGTTCGGAAGAGAGTGGCATTTTGGAGATTAGAGGCGCGGTGGCAGCTCTTCGCGCGTGTTTGGCACATTTGGGAAAGCGGGTATAATATAGAAGTGGGGACCTTTCGCGCGCGGGAGCGAGAATTCTCTTCCGCGCGGTGGGGGCGGGGCAACGCCCGCTCGTTGGTGGCGTTAAGGTATGAAGTCGATGGCCAGAGAGCGCTGTTGGTGCGGCGGTTTTACAGACGTGGAGAAGCACAGTCGAACCCACATGCATAGAGATCAGCATGCACGACTGGAGAACGCGTGTATGTACATACAGTGTGCATCTTCCGAAACAGAGGTGTCACAGACATGACATGCTGCGACACTATACAGATCTGTACACTGTTCATGTAACATGTACATTAATTTAGCTGTAGTGGTGCTTAAGCAATTGTACATTCCATGCTTGATGGTTGCAGCGTGTTCTTCTTCTCAATAAAATCTTACAGCTGT